AAGTGCAACATACAAGCACACTCCTCCAATCTACCAGAAATATTACATACAAACACACCTCTGCATTCAAACTCCAAAAAAATGGGGGGAAGCAGAGAGGCACATAGGGGCGGAGGGAGAAGATAGACACAGAAGGGGCGGAGGGGGAGAGAGAGTAACATAAAAGAGCAGGGGTAAGGAGACACACAAAGGGGTTGGGGTGGGGGGAGAAAAGAGTCCCACAAAATTGTTTGGAAATATTTGTTTTATTTTTTTGAGGGGATGCAAGTAGCTGGTCTCACACTACCGGTGTTAGTAGTTGAGTACTTGAGGTAGTGTGGGTGAAATATAGTTCTGAAATGGATATGGTTTGTTATACTGACTTTTAACTTTTGTGAGTAAAATAATTTTAGTGTTCTATTGTTTGTGTGTGTGTTTGTTTTTAATTTGAATCATAAGAAAGGGAAAAAGAAAGAAAAGGGAAAAAGGGAGATTTGCAAATAAATAGTAAATAGAAAAATAACCACAAATGTTAAAGGGGGAGTGAATGGGCAATTGGTGACCCACTCACTTGTTTCATCCCCAGGGCAGAGCATCCAAACTCCTTCAGTCCTTGGTGTGGGGAGCGATCTCCCAGAGCTCAAATACAATACCCTAGCATTGGCTGACTGCACTGGTGCAGGTAGCAGACTGTCATGGTTCCCGGTTCACTCCTTAGGTGATATCCCTTTGTGCAGTTCCATTGATCACCACTTTCCATGCTATGCCTTACTTTTTGGAACATTAAGCACTTCAGCCGGCCCATGTTAGGCACCTTTATAGTCTGGCCTCACCCTTCCCTCAGGGTCAGATCATTTTTTCCTTGTTCCTGTGTCCTCTGGTCTTGTATCCTGTGACTCTTACCGTGCATCCTCTGGTCCTGTATCCTGTGTCTTTGGTCCTGTATCCTGTGACTCTGGTCGTGCATTCTGTGGCCTTGTTTCCTGTGACTCTGACCCTACATCCTCTGGTTCTGTATCCTGTGTCTCTAGTCTTGTATACCGTGACTTTGTTCCTGTGTCCTGTGACTCTGGCCTTGCATCCTGTGGTCTTGTATCCTGTGACAGGGCCTTGCATACTGTGGCCTTGTACTCCGTGACTCTGGCCTTGTATCCTGTGATTCTGGCCTTACATCCTTTTGGCACTAAATGTATATTCTGTGGCTCTGAGTCCTGTCTATCTTTCAAGATACCTGCTCAACGTACTCCATTTAACCTACAAAGACTGTACCCTGATACTCTGCCTGCACCTCCTGTGCTAGACCTAGGTCTACTGTATTTTTTGTATTGGCATTGTAGTATTACTGTGATTTGTTTGGTTATCTTGTGTCATTTTGTTTGTTTCATAATATACTTATTTGTACACTCATTCCTTGTGATTGTCATTTTTTCTAACCATATCGGGTTCCTGCACTTAAAGGGATATTGCTGTCTTAAGGCAGCACCCCTTCCCACCCTGACACAGGCATTGCCACACCACCGTCAGACACAGCCAGAGGGGAGAAACCAGTGCCACTTTGAGGGACATTTTTAGGTGTAAGGGGAGAAAGATAATGGAAGAATAAGGAGGAATGAGAAAAGAGATGTTTTGTCAACAGCAAAATTGAAATACAATGGTAAAGGGAAGCGAGTGGACAATTATCGACCCACTCACCTGTTTCATCCCCAGGGCAGAACATCCAAAGTCCTTGGCATGGGGAGCAGACTTCCAGAGCTCAAATACAATACCCTAGCGGTAGTTGGCATTGCCACACTGTTATTAGACACAGCCACAGGGGAGAAAACAATACATCTTTGAGGGAGATTTTTAGGTGTTAGGGGGGGGGGGGAAGAGAGTGAAAGAATAAGGACAGTGCCGGATTAAGCTGCAGTTCCAGGCCCATTAATTTTAAAAAATTTTTTTTAAAAAATTCTATTTTTACTACTATTCACATGCTCTTGCTTAAGTATGGAAACTTAAGAGGGATGCATGGGGGGAGGGGAAGGAAACAGTGTGGACTGGCTGACAATTAAATTAGTTAAGGTAAAGCTGACTTTGCACACTATGCAAATACTCTTGCTGCTTCACTCTCTCTAGCACTGTGGCATGTACCCTTTTTTCTACACTCACTACATATTCTTTTTCTCTGTCCCAGACTGTATAGCAGGAGCTTCTGCATGCTAGTAAGAAGGTTAGGAGAGGAGTGAACCAGCGAGTGCTAGGTGACAGTCCTTAGAAAGCGTAGAGCTAGCGCATCATTAGATGCATTTATGCCAAGCTCAGGGTGCTGTCTGCACAGGATGCCCTTAGTTGGCCAGCCTGCATGATTGGCAGGTAGCCTGACATCAATTCATGCAACACTGGCCTTCCAATTTTTTTAGACCGACATGTCCCCTGTTTGGGCATTTTTACCACTTTCCACAGTTCTGGTTATGTTATTCGTGTCGTGGCACACCCTTTTGCCCCACCTGTTGACATTCTGCTTCATTGGACACTGCAGTTAAGGGGTATGGATTTACTTGAAATGATGAAAGCATAAATTAGAGAGAGATGCATAGGGTATGTGTTTTCTAAAAGTTGCATCATGAGTTTCTTTCCAGCACTACCTCCATCAGATACATGACGCTTGGACGGTATGACTGTTTTAGTGTTTTTGGTCAATACGATTCTGTAATTAGGTCCATCATAATTGTCAGCACCAGGCTCAGTGGGCTCTCAAGCTAGCCCTGATTGCAGGACATTCTATCCAGATAACAACCGCTAGAAATTCTCCTATGAGCAATAGCATTATAGCAGACCTTAGTTATAGCAAAGTAAGAGACAAGCAAGCTTCGTCTTAATGTAAGCCGGAGCAACTGACTTTATTTTTCACTTCACATCAGGATAGAGGTGTAACTAGAACCAGTGTGATTTTTTTTTTTTTACAGATATTATAAGTTATACAGTATTAATGGCTCCCTCATCATTGTTATGGTAAAGGGAGTAGGTAGGGATTGTTTTTGCATTAATATGCAACCTATTTCACTTATTTCTACTAAATTGCTACATTAATTAATAGTTTTACTCTCTTTACTCGCCCCCATACCAGCAGTATATAGTATACTCTTCTCCAACATCTTCTTCAAAACATCTTTCTCTTCTTATTAGGAATCATTTTTTTATATCATCTTGATATTGTTTAAAATAAACTCAAAATAGCAAAAGCCTATGGGGTATATTAAAACATGCACATTTCAATTAGATAAGGGCAGCTTATGTTGCACTCAAGGAACCCAATAAAGTCCACATCTGGAGCACCATGGATGGGATCCACAGTCTCTTAGAAGTATTTAAAATACAATTCCAAAGGCTTCACAGAGTAGTGCAAATAGAAAGGAGTTTTATTCAGGATCAGGAGAACAAAAGTATACACTACGTTTCAGTGCCAAGTCATAATTCTCGTTCTTGGGTAGAACAAGAATCAAGGATAGCATAGGAAAGAGTACAGGGAGATGTCATTAATGGGACTTTTCCAAGTTGGACAAAAGTAGTAGGTGGTGTCCTTCAAGGATCTGTTCTGGCCTGTTCTATTTAACATATTTATAAATGATCTTGAAGTAGACATTGAAAGTCATGTTTCAGTGTTTGTAGATGACTCAAAGCTCGCTACAGCAATACAATGTGAGCAGCATATTGCTTTGCTGCAGAGGAATTTAGATATATTAGGGGACTGGGCACTCAAATGGCAGATGGAATTTAATGAAAAAATGCAAAGATATGCACCACGGGGTAAAGACTGCCCAAGCAACTTACACCCTAAATGGTAGTGAATCAGCTATAACACCACATGAACAGGATTTGGGTGTTGTTATAGATAATAAACTAGGCAACAATATGCAATGCCAATTGGAGGGTGCTAAGGCCATTAAGGTATTGGCATGTATAAATAGGGCCATTAATTCATGGGATGAAAATATAATTTTATTAAAGGACACAGAGGCTCATATTATGCTTTATCTCTTTCTTTATTCCTCAGCAGCAAAGAAAGGATATTGAAATATTCAAAGAAAAAACAAGTAACATGTACTCAACGGGTTAAATATACTATAAACATATTATCCAATGATAATGCTTCTTGCACCATAATGTCCCATGTGACCTTAAGCCACTCCTCTTTCTTTGCTGCTGCCTCCTCAGCTAAGTATTATTCCATATTTCTCCACACTTAACTTGTATATATTTATTGGATTTCTAACATTCTTATTGCATTTTGTATGTTTATGTATTGTATTTTTCTGTGGCTTCACTGCCTTTCCTCTGCCTTGGCTCTCTGTGCCATCTCTTTCCTGTCACCCAGCCTCTCCCCCCACCTCCTGTTACTCGTCAGCTTGTTTATTTGCCGACTCTTTCTCATTTACCCAACCACCTCACACGCATGCCCCCTCGGTCTGCTTCATGTCAGGATGAATTTCGCTCATGTGTTTAACAAGTGTTATGGGGGGCGGGCCAACTCTGATTGATCCACTGAGTTGCTGGTAAAGCTTCTAGTGTTCCCCAGGGCTCATTCCGGTGAGCTTGTTGATTGCCTATATTTGTTGTGCCTAGTTTTCCTTCGTGCCCATTTTCTGGGGTAATCATTCCCACATATCACTCTCCTACTGTTAGTGTGTCTCACACTCCCCTGGCCTGAATTTGACCCCTGGTTAAATTGATAAAACAATATAATTATATCATATATCTATTGATTTTATTAAACGTGCAGTCCCAGAAGGATTTTTGCGCTCCTTCCGCTAGTGCCCCTAAACTCTCCACACCGGAGGTAGTAGCCAAACCAACCCCTCAGGCTACACTGGAGGATGTGTTGCAGGAGCAAATGAACTCTGAGGAGTTTCATTCGTTACCGGATGCTTCGTTGGCGAAGTTGTGTGTCTCACACTATCGTTACAGCCATGGGGACTATGACAGATACCCTGTCACACTCCATCACTCAGGCCCTACTGTCCGCCCAGAGACCACCTGTCCTAATGGCTCTGAACCCCCCGGAGAGTAAGCCAGTAGCCCCTAGTGAGCATAAATCCGCTAAGAAATCCTGTCGTATAGATGAGGAGTCCTCCACAACTTTTGAGATGGACAGGGTACGTCTTTTCACTGAGGATGTGGACCACAACAGAGAGCCTGCCCACCGGGCAAAATCGGTGAGGACCTGGAAGAAGGCAAAAGCCTTCAGTGAATCTTCCGACTCTGATTCGGAACAAGAGGAGGAACTGAGCGTGTCGAATGAAGACTCTTATGATTCCGGCACAGATTTGTCTGACCACATCCCCTTGTCAGGACCTGGCAATGATGCCACGGCCGGGGTGGATGACTCCACCCTTCTGGATCCTCAAGGCGAACAGCATCCACGTTCTTTAGAGTGGTACCCTTTGGATCACGTGGCTAAATACATTGCCGCACGTATAAGGAAACCACTTAACAAGGAGGCACGGAATAAACTCAGAGCGGAATGCCCACGTCCCAATCTCCCTGATATGGCCTGTACCACGCCAGAGTTGGATCCCAAAATAGCCCAATTTCTTGGCAAAACAGGATGGAAAGCCAAAAAAAGGCCTGGATTTCTCCCTGTGAAGTTGCCAGGACAAAATCCTGGACGCTCTGGGACCAAGTGCTAAGATTTTCGACATGGCACAGCGCAGCACACAAACCTCGCAAGCAACCACGCTGGACAAAATCGTTGAGGATTTCTGGGCGAAACTAAACCGCCAACTGCAAGCACCTTCTTTACAGAAGCCGGGTGATAACTCCTCACACGAGCGGCCCCCGAGCACTCTGCTCCCTCTAAAGGATATGGCTCCAGATCGGCAGCATCTCACAATCCACCCTCCTGTCACAAAACACAAGAGAGTCTTGGCTGGCTTACCGGCACTTCGCTGAAGGGGAGGACAGACAGGTGCGCCAGGAAATAGACCACCCACCGTCCGGGTTCACGCCAGCACTCCTGCCTCCCGGCCGAGGCGAGCAGATACCCGAAGCCGTAAGCTCCCACCTCTCTTCCCCACTTAGCGAAGGGACACTGCGACAGCACGGACGGTACTGTGAGGGGTACCCAGTGCACAACGTATTGGCTATCAGCCTGGTCCAAACCCCACTGGACCTACTCACATGGTTCCTGAAACCCTACAGAAACGGCATAGGATGAAGGCAAGCCTGAAGGGGGATTCACTCACTCACTTCAGGAGATAGCTCCTACACTCTTATCTGTTAAACTAATTATTATTATTATTTTATTATTTATATAACGCCATCACATTCCATAGCGCTGTACAACAGGTGGACTAACAGACATGTAATTTTAACCAGACAATTGGACATACAGAAACAGAGAGGTGGAGTGCCCTGCTCAATGAGCTTACATTGTCTAACTATGAATCCAATATACATAGCTAAACTTACCCTTAAGTGCATAAGCTCTATCTTATATTTATTGGTTTAACCGTTGTTTGCTAGCCTAGTACAGTTATTTTTGTCAGTTTCTAATATTATAAAAATGTGCAAGTTTCATCTACTACCCAACTGTAATACATGATGCTAAGCTTGAGGAATGCCGTTAGGTACCTCAAGCTTGTTTGTAATATTCTTATGCACGACAAAAACTTTGATAAGAGCAGTCTCAGTAGACTGGAGGGGGCGGAAGCAAGACTGAAGAGGGTCAAGGAGAGAGTTGGAATTGAGGAAGTCAGCCAGACTGGTAAAGACAAGTCTTTCCAGAAGCTGAGGCTTCAGTCAGACCCTATGGACCTCATTGATAGACTATAAATTGTCCGCTTCCAGACCCATGACTATCATGGACTAACTTTCCTGTTATTGGTTTATCTTAACAATAATTAATTTACTCTCAAATTGACATGATGTATAACTCCTGAAATACAAATTATCTTAAATTAAACTCTCAGATATGCATAATCTAAAGAAATCTTTTAAAAAATTTTTTATTATAGATAAATTTGTTTCCATAACAATAAGAATAATGATGTAATATGAATATGTATGTAAATAATATACATAAAAACATACATAAAAAAACTGAAAAACTAACTGGGGAATACAATTTACACATATCATCCAATACAATATATAATAATTAATGTATTTTTAATAAAGTATATTCAGTATTAAAAAATAAATAAAGATGCAAAATCTATAGAAATCTGTATATAATCAGCCTAAGTCTAGGTATTTAAGTATCTAGGTATCTAGGTGTTTCTGCACATTCAGTATTGGATTTCCTATCAAGCCTCGATTAATCGGGGTGCTACGTATGTATACAATATTTAAGGTGTCCATTGACCATATAGTGAAAGATAGATGGATGCTCACCTGGTTCACCATATGCAAAGCCTCTGGTCTCAACCCCTTAAGGAGCAAACTTCTGGAATAAAAGGGGTGTCCTTAAGGGGTTAAAGGGTTAAAGGGATACACTAAGCACTAAAATAACTTCAGTTTCATGAAGCAATTTAGATATATAGATCCAAGTACCTGCAATTTCACTGGTCAAGTGTCTGCCATTTTAGCATTAAAGGGACACTGCCCAAATACAAAATAAGCCAAACAGCACAGCTGGTATTTGAGGCTGCCTGGCCGGTGCTGGTAGTCTATAAATGTTCTATACCCCATCAGATTTCTTGTACCTACATCACTTCCTGTGCACAGGTGTGTTACCGGAAGTGACGCAATATCAGCTGTGTGCATGTGCGATATCGTGGCTATCGGGTATAGAGATCTGATGAAGGCGCAGCTGTCAGTTATAGGATTCTGGCGCGAGATCAGCTAGGCCAGTAACATACGTCAGATATAGAAATCTGACAGATATACAACGCATGCACGTGGACAACGTGCCCAGTTGAAGGGAAGTAACATCAGCTGACAGAGTACATCTATCCGTTTTCTTTACCAGGCGGATGTACAGCACATGCGCGACCGCCGCAGCACTTAGTGTGCAGTGACATAGTGTAGGCTTAAGGGGTGTAACATACAGGAGATGTAGGGTAATGGGGGTGATACACATTGGATGTAGAGTAGAGGGGGGGGGATTAAAGAGGGTTATGGGATGACACATAGGGGATATGGGTGTTATTAGGGTGACACACAGGGGGTTATGGGGAGTATGAAGTGACACATAGGGGTGTGGGGGTTATAGTGTGACATACAGGTTTTTATGGGGTGACAGACAGGGAATGACAACCCCATAACTTTACATCTCCTGTATGTTACACCCCAAATGCCTACAGTGTATATTGCACTGCAGAGGGATGTGGCAATCGCGCATGCACTATACATCCGTCTGGTAAAGAAATCTGATAAATGTACGCTGTCGGCTGATGTTACGCCCCTTCATTGCGGTGCATTGTCCACGTGCAGGCCAGTAGGAGAGATGCAGGGATAGGACATTACATCTTAGCTCTGCCTCTCTATTAAGCATCTGCAGGGGAGCAGCTCTGCATAGCAGAGCAGGTTCAGCCAGCAGCTCCCAGCCTGCAATCATCTTACAGATCAGGTAATTGAGGAATGGGGGATACCAGTAGGAGTGCAAGGAGATACACAGGGGTTAGCCGGATGAGAGAAAGATACAGATGGGGAATACCATAATAATAAAGATGGGCTTAACAGGATGAGACAGAGAGATTGGAGTATACATAACGAGACAGAGAGTGAGATGGGGTTAACATGATGAGAGAGAGTGATGGGTCAGATAGAAGGGAAGGTTACAGGTCACATTAAACTATGACAGCAAGCACATTATGTTAAAGCAGTACATGACAATTGGCCTGCAAAGCGTGGGAAGGGAGTGGATATTTAAGCCAGGGGATGGAGGAGTGGGAATGCTGGGGAATGGAGGGGGAAGGAAGACGGTGGGAATGATAAGGAACAGGGCTAAAATGGGTGCTGCATCAGATGAAGTGGAGGTGTGCCATCTTCACCCACAGCCTATAACAGCCCTAAAACATAGGAAAATATACAGGCCTGTCATTAAGTGTGTACATCAAGCATGTCAAACTTGTGGCCTGCGGGCTGCATGCCACCCACAAAGAATATCTTTGCAGCCTGGTGAGCTGCTAGTTTGACATGTTAAGGCAGAGTAGGCACCTGCTCTCCCCACATTGCAGGTGTCTACTCTGCTAAAATTTACCCGGCCAGGGAGGAGAGGTCGCTGGCGACAGGGAGGGAGCTCAGTCTTCCTGCTCCCCACTGCTCCCTCGCGCGCCGTCTTTAGTGAAGCTGGGTGCCGGAATATGACGTCATTCCGGCCCGGCATCTCAAAATGCGCGTCTGAGGGGAGCAGGTAGAGAGACCCCAGTGAGAGGCCCTACACCAGCTCCCAAAGGTAGGGAGCAATGAATAAAATGATTTGTGAGTGTGTGCAAGAATGTGTCAGTGTGTGTCTGTCTGTCTGAGTTTGTGTGTCTGTCAGTGCGTGTGTGTTGGTTACTGTTGTGATGGCCACGCTGGAGGTGCACTGAGGCACACTACACACACACACTGCATTCACTTTACACACCACACACTACATTCACTATACACACACACACACTCTGCATTCATTATATACACACTACACAGTCACTGCATTATCTATATATACTACACAGTCACTGCATTAACTATACACACTACACAAACAGTCACTGCATTAACTATACACACTACACAGTCACTGCATTAACTATACACACTACACAAACAGTCACTGCATTAACTATACACACTACACAGTCACTGCATTAACTATACACACTACACAAACACACCCTGCATTCATTATATACACACAACACAAAAATCAATATCGGTCGATCCCTACCAGAAACACCTGGGGCTTTAAACCAAAGCAAAACGCGATGACCCAAACACAGACAGAGGCAAAGATATATCATGACATAAATCCGCCTCCCTTTGTTATATATTCTCTTCTTTAACCATGACCATGGTGCTGCTTATGCCCTCCAGGATCTCAATGAAAATATAGCCTGAAACAAGCACATGCTGCACATCAGGTAATGCAATCCTGTCACACTACCTAAATAATACAGGTGTGTACAGAAAAATACTCTGTTCTGGCACCCCTTCTGGACAGTCACCTGGAGGTGCACCAAACTTTCCAATTAGTACCCTTGCAGAGCACTATACTAATTATCTCTCTTTTTTTTTTTTTTATCAGCCGCCTCCAGATGTAAAAAAAACAAAACAAAAAAACCTCCCACCATTATCCTTCTACCCACTCCACAACTGTAGAGACCTGGGGTTAAATAATCTTAGATCGGGGATTTCAGCCCCCAAAGTCCCCCATGGCAATGCCTACTGTTCTGAAGCTGCCACCCACCCCTTGTGTGCCTCATTTAAGGGACATTATAGGCACACAAGGTGTATTATTCTGGTGAGTGTAGTCAGTCCCTATAGGCTTTTTAGTGTACACATTCTTTTTTTCCACAGAAAAGACAGTTTAAATTACTGTATAGGAACACTCTAGTGGCCACTCCTCAGACAGTACAGTACTGACGTGTGCCCTACTAATGGTTAAAAAGAATAACCCTTTATATACCATTAGAGAGTTTGCCTTTTAGCCGAAAGCAGCAAGGTGAATTGTTATTTTGCGTTTGAGGCACGTGAGCTTACA